TTAAGTCGATCTAGTATTACCTTTTGCGTCAAAAAAATGGGACCCCAAATACTCCGTCTCTACCTCTAACTCTAGCTCTATCACTTAGGGAAGTCACTTAACTCAGTCTCAGAGGTTTTACCAGGTCTCCAAAGGATTTGGACTGAAACCATGGAAATCTCTCTCAATGCTAAGGAAAGATCATTGCAGAGAAAATAATTTCATCACACGTGTAAACACACTGCACAATGCTGATTCTACTCTTCTCAAAACTACTGCTGCTCATCATTAGAAACATTTTCATACCGAAAGACATCCCTGCACTGGAGGTAACAAACACACAGGATCTGCTTTTTACATTGTCAAGATTTCGGCAATCAGAAAGTCAGTCTTACTTCTCACACTGAGCATAACTGAAGATACGTATTTGTCAGGAATGGCAAAGGCAAAGTAAGATCATTCGGTTCTCTGAATTTGCTGATGTCAAGGAGCTATTTCAAGCCAAGATATTATCGTTGTTCTGACATTGTTAAATATGGAAAGGGTTAGGGAAATTCTGTGGGCCTGCATACTTGAAAAATGTTCAATTTTTAGAGGGCTTCTTTTATTCTAAGTGCTTTGTCAATATAAAACATGTGATTTGTTAATAGGTCACATGTCTTACCTAAGTGCCTCGAGTTACCACACAGATCCTCCCTGAAGGTAATGATGGCACATACAGAAAACTCAGGACAGTTGTTTTTCTTCTCACAGCTCATGTTAGACAGCACTAATCAACTGCGGCCCTCTCGCACAGAGCCTAGACGCAATGTCCTCAGCTTTTTAAACCGGGGCTCCAGTAAGCCACTACCAATTGATCCAAAGAGTCAAATGAAGGGAAATCATTTGCCTTCTTTATTCAATCAGTACATGGGGGTGAACACCGAGGATGGTGGTAATGCTGGTCAGTGAAGCCCAACCCACATAACACGTAGTTCTCAACAATGTATCTCCAGAGAAACAAACCTGTTCTTTTATACAATATCCATTATTTAGAAAACTAAGAAATCATTGGAAATTGCTTATTTCTTTTTTACAACAAATTCAAGGTTTCTTTTATAAATTTGACTTTTAAAATATCAGCTTATATAAAATATTTTAAGAATACATCTATAATAAAGAATAAAATCATAACACTGTATGTTAACTCTACTGGAAATAAAATAAAAAGAATGAAATCACTGGTGTTTATGACTAAAGTCACTATCACTACCATCATTAAGGGAAGTCTATTAACACAGCAAAAGGAACATAGTCCATGATACTGTCATAGCATCATATGGGGACAGATGGCAGCTCCACTTGTGGTAAGCACAGTATAATGTATAATGAACTTGTCAATTCACTGTTGTACACCTGAAACTAATATAACATCGTGTGCCAACTATACTAAAAAAAAATTTTTAATTAGAATGCACTGGAAGAGAATAGAAAGTATAAGAATGCATTTCACTTAGTAAAAAGTATTATTTGTGACACTTTCACCCCCACTTGTGTGTGTGTGTGTGTATGTGTGTGTACACATGTGCACACATTCATGCTGAGCTGTGATATAGAAGGTATTTCTCATTCTGTATTGGAGATAAAGAAATTTGAAAGCCACCCTTAAAAAAAAAAAAGCCTATTAAATACCAAATTAGGAAACAAAAGAAAAATAAATCACACATTTTACAGAGAATTTCTACTTTACAGTTAAGTTGAGCCATGTATACAAAAAGTCATATACCATCTTTGTATATTTTCATTTTTTCTTTAAAATTTATATTGTTGAGATGCCTGGGTGGCTCAGTCGGTTAAGCATCTGCCTTCAGCTCAGGTCATGATCCCAGCGTCCTGGGATGGAGACCCACATCAGGCTCCCTGCTTAGCAGGGAGTATCCTCCCTCTGCCTGCCGCTCCCCCGACTTGTGCTCTCTCTCCCTCCCTCCCTCCCTCTCTCTGACAAATAAAATCTTTAAAAAAAATAAAGCTTATATTTCATAATTTTGAAAAGAACCAGAGGAAGACAAACATACAAATACCTGCACTTTAGGAGCTTACTACTTGAGATGGACAATACCAAATAAATAAACTTTAAATGGCAGCCAGCCAACAGAATAAAGCAATTATGCCAAAGTATAAATAAAAAGGAAGAGGAAATTAATTTTAGTCATCCGGAGTTGGCAAAACATGCTCACAAAATCTTCTGCTATTATAATTCTCTGTTTAATCAGCCAACTGACATTATTATCAGTTCCTGGAATGTATTTCATGACCCAAGAAGAGAGAATGATTTTATGAACTCAAACTTTCCACAGTCACTTTCATCACCCTTTAAAAGGGTGTTACTTCAGTAGATGAAACTCTACCCAGCCTAATATTTGCATTAACCTATAAAATTATAGTACTAGTTCCCTACTTGAAATGTTGGGAAAAGGTAGGTAGGGGAAATAGACTGGGGCCCGTGACCAATTTTCTGGAGATTCTTATGTTGGGTTTTAATGGGTGACTTTGCTAGCTTATTTGAAATTCTGTGAATTCCCAAAACACTCTCATATTGAAGTGTTAAGAGCAAAATATATTCAGGAGAAGAAGTCATCTATGTACTATTTCTTCTACTAACATATATAATTGGGTTGATTGTAGGTGTTAAGAGTAAGTGGATTTTGGGGCACCTGGGCGGCTCAGTCAGTTGAGTGTCTGCCTTTGGCTCAGGTCATGATCTCAGGGTCATGGGATAGAGCACTGTGTCTGGCTCAGCAGGAAGTCTGCTTCTCACTCCCCTTCTGCTCCTCATCCCCGGCTTGTGCTCTCTCTCTCCCCCAAATAAATAAAATCTTAAAAAAAAAAAAAAAAAAGAGTAAATGGATTTTTTTAAAAGTCAATGTTTTAAAGGTAAATAGACAGTGCATAACTATTTGGGCAATTGGGCAAGGTAAATGGCCATGGGGAAATTGTGTCACAACAACAAAAAGAAGTCTCAGTAGCTCTCCTTTGCTCAAAATCTGCAAGAAACTCCCACAGAAAACAAGCTCTGTAGCCTGTAAAGTGGCTTGGTAGACTCGTCGGAAGAGAAGTAGTAGAAAAGAGCATTACGGGAACAGCAAACTACCTTTGTGAAGACTCACAGGCATAAGCAGCCAGGCACAGAGGCTATGTGACAGGAGCCAGGGTATGGCTCCCAGGCTCTGAACTAGAGCCATCCTATAAATGACCCTGACTGGAGACTTGAGAAGTGTCCATGTGAAAACAGACCTAACACAGGTAAAAGAAAAGAATTCCATCTTCCTAGAATGTATCAAATTGATAGGGAACCGGCTAAGACATGAGTCTGCCAAGCAGTGAGCCCTGCTAATTCATATTAGAAACAAAGGACAGAAGAAGGCGAGGCTGTATGTCAAGTGACTCCGAGATCACAGGTGGGATACTCAAAGTTTTTGAAGCAAAGAGATATTTTCCATTTCTTGTCAAGTTAAAAGTTGGCACTTGAGAAGCAAAAGATAAAGGGCAGCACACAGCAGAATATAAGCAATGGAGTCAAATCATAAGACTGTTGAAAAAAATTTTTTTAAATCATAAGACTTTTTCTGGATTACAGCTTATAGATCAATGAGCTCCTGGCAAGGGTCAGAATGCAGCTCACCAAGACCAGAGTGAATGTGCTTCTTAGAAAAACTTCCAACTAAATTAAGAGATTTTTAAGCTGAAATCTGAAAGGGGAGTGAAAAAAAATCCAGATAAAAATCATAAAATCAGACACTCTAGTCCAAAAGATTTAATATTTTAAAAAACTACACAGAAGGAATAAATAAATAATTTTCAGGAAAAACAAAGAAGAGGCTTAGAAATAAAAACCTATGGTCTCAAATATCAATAAAGCATTTAATCCAGGTTAAAAGAAGATGGCAAATAAAAAGCAAGAGCAGGTACTCTCCTGTATTCCTTCTGCTAAGTCCAGCTAAAAGCCCTGACCCTATGTATGAAACAAACCTAAGACAACTCCAAAGGGCAGAGAAAAGAAGGCAGGCCAGCTAGCAACCTCAGGATGGCAGGAACAATACTTTTATACAATAGCCACTCTACTCTAGCAGCAATAATTAATTTTATGTGTCAACTTAGCTAGGCCACAGTACCCAGATATTTGGTCAAACACCAGACTAGATGCTGCTGTGAAGGCATTTTTTAGAGTACATTAACATTTAAATCAGCAAACTCTGAGTAAAGCACTTACCCTTCATAATGTGGGTAGGCCTTATCCAATCAGTTGAAAACCTTAAGAGCAAAAGAGAGAGGTCCCCTCAAGGAAGAGAGAATTCTGCCTCCAGAATTCTGGATGTTTCTTCGGACTCAAGCTACAACATCGATTCTTCCCTGGGTCCTCAGCCTGCCAACCTACCTTGCAGATTTCAGACTTATCGGCCCCCACAATTGTGTCAGTCAATTTCTTAAATGAAATCACACACACACACACACAGACACACACTATTGGTCTGTTTCTCTGGAGAACCCTAAAACACTAGCCAAACACCACCCAAAAGAGTGTCATTCCATCTCTATCTCTGACAATAAATCTCCAGTGGAGATTTGGCAAATAATCTTCAGGCTGCAAAGAAGGGCCCCCCCTCCTCCTGGCTGTATGGGATCAGAGAAGACTGAGTAGTAGGGAACCAGGACTTACAACCCTGCTGGGTAGTAATGAGTCTCTTCTCTCCACCACCTACCCTGTGGCATCAGAGGAAACAACACAGGAGCCTAGACTTCCACGCTACCTAACGGTCTCAAGGCAGCCCTGCTCCACATGCTGAGGTGGGGTCAGAGAAGGCCTAGCAGAGTCAGGACTTTCACTACTGTCCAATGGTAACACCCCCCATGGTGTCAGTGGAGGCCACGTGGGGAACAGGAACGAGGTGCCCCTGCCCTCAGTCAAGGTGATATCAGTAGAGGTCTAGTAGTGACCCTGAACTTCCCAATGCCACACAGCAGTAACACCCACCCCTACCTACCCCCAGGTATCCATGGAGACCAAGAAGGGAACCTGGACTTCTAACTCCATCTGGCAGTGACAAGGCAAACTCCTTTTCCTCCACCAGCATTAGGTCAGAGGAGGTCAGCTAAAACAGAAGACTTAAAGAAGATCCAGTGTCTCAGAATACCCAAAATGTCCTGGTTTCAATGAAAACTCACTCATCACAGAAACAAACAGGAAGATCTCAACTCACATGACAAATGACAACAGATGCCAAGACAGAGATAATAAAGTTATCAGAATTATCTAACAAAGATCCAAAAGCAGCCATGATAAAAATGCTTCTATCAGCAATTACAAACATGCTTGAAACAAAACAAAGTCTCAGCAAAGAAACAGAAGAAGAACCAAATGGATATCAGAGAGGGAAAAGACAAAAACTGAAATAAACAGCTCAGCAGATGTGCTCAACAGCAGAGTGGAGGAATCAGAGGAAAGAATCAGTGAACTGGAAAAGAGTAATAAAATTACACAGTCTGGATAACAGAAAGAAAAAGGACAGGAAAATAAAGAGCTCCAGGGACCTGTGGAACTCTCACAAAAGCTCTCTAACCTTCATGTTGCCGAGTCCCAGAAGGAGAGGAGAAAGAGGGCAGGGCCGAAAGAGTACAAGAAGCAAAAATGGCTGAAAGCTCCCCAAATCTGGCAAGACACTTAAAATTATGGAATCAAGAAGATGACTGAATCCCAAACAGGATAAACTCAAAGAAATTCATTCTATGACACATAATCCAACTTCTGAAAAATAAAGACAAAGAAAAAATCTTGAAAGCAGCCAGAGAAAAAATGACACCTTGCCTATAGAGGAAAAACAAGTAGAAGGACAGCAGATTTCTCATAAGAAACCATGGAGGCCAGAGAAAAGGGCACAATTTTGTTCAAGTAGTGAAAAAACAGAACTGTCAACCCACAATGCCATATCCAGAGGAAAAACATTCTTTACCCTGAAAGGATGGCACAAATTCTAAAGTAGAAAGTTAATAATAAAAGAAGGAACAGTGGAACATTAGGAAGAAAAGATAACAGAAGAATAAGTATATGGATAAAAACACTACATTTTCCTTCTCAAGTTTTCTAAATTATCATTTAAAGGTTGAGGCAAAGATTTTTAACACTTTCTGATGTGGTTCTCAATATTAATAACGAGAAATATTTAAGACAATTATATTATAAACAGAGGAGGATAAAGGGACCTAAAGAGAGGTAAGATTTTTTTTTTTTTTAAAGATTTTAT